TATAAATGTCTTTACGGGCACTTTTGATCAATTTAATGCATCTTTGCTGAATAAAAGTAGGAATTTCATTAAAACAAATCTCACTGACCCTAAAAATTTGAACAGTAGTATGTATTCCATTAATTACATTACATGAATTAGTGAGTTTTTAGTCCCTCACCATGGATCCATCATGGGATATCCTAAGTACTTCTTTGACTCTCTCCTGAGTTCCTTGTCCCTTCAGCAGCTCCATACACACCTCTCCAGAATCCAGGATACTGACCTAGAGAGGAAATACACATCTTGTTACATCATGATCTAAATCAGCAATTCTAGCTAATAACTTACAGGTTCTCCCTAGTGCTCTAAACTCAAAGTGAAATGGGCTTATGGTTTCACAAGGCAATATAATAATAAGCGGTTATAAGACATTAATGGCTTCACTCACCACAGCGTTTTTGGTCTTTTGTCTAATAGGCTTGAGTCTGACAGCACAGAGTGGTGGGAAGCTCTTCTTAGGGAACACTTTCTCCTTCTTCTCTGTGTTTGCTTTGCCTTTGGAGAGGGGTGGACCCAGAAACTGTGCGTCCGAGTAGCCTTGAGATTCTGACACGTGTCCTGATCCAAACACATCTTCCCTGCAGGGCCCCTGATTGTTGTGAGGAAAAAGGTTCGGTTGCTGCTGAGAGTGAAGGCCGCTGGGTTTGTCACCGCAGGAGGTTTGTGTCCCGACTGGCCCTCGTCCAGAGTGGAAACTACCACTGCTGCTGTGACTGCTCAGGTCCGCCGGCCTCTTAAACGGTCCTAGAAGTAAAAATGTTTTAAGGTTGAGAAAACTCAATATCTCAAAGTCCTAAGGCTTTTAAAAAAAAGTCATACTAAATATTTCCAATGGTCTGAAATAAAATAATTTTGTTTTTTTTAATAATTTATTTTAAGTAATTTTTTAATGGTTAAATGGTTTTAGTTTCAATTAACTATAATAACCCTGGTCGTGTGGAGCTCCGTAGGTTTGGAACGACACAAGAGTAAATGATGGCAGAATGTGCATTTTTCCTGAAATATTCCTTAAACTAGGGCTGCACGATAAATCGCATGCGATATTTAACGCGCATCTTATCCTCTGAATTCTGATGGGAATTTTACCATCGCAGCTGAACCAGGCCTGTGTTTGAGAATCAGGCATTTGTGTCCTCATTGAATGGGTGGATGTAGAGAAAGATGATCCCGGACTGAGAAAGAGGGGGGGAAAGAAACACAAAGCACTAATTACAAAAAATACATTGTAATAATGTTGAAATGCAAATATGTTAACTGCGCTCAATGCATTATTAAACTTTGCAGTCATTTTTGATAGAATCACACCGCCTCTTACTTTGCAGGCTGTTTTACAGGTGGAGAAGGTAGGCGCCCTTGCTCAGAGTAGCCATGGGGCATATTTCTGTAACTGGAGGTTGATGAAAATAATCGTCCAGACCCTGGAAGCATCTCTTCAGAGTGGCATCTCTCCAGCTCCGCCTCCTGTGGAGTGTTGCTAAACCCAGCACCAGATCGATCTGATGAGTGAGCCCGTCTCAAGTAGCGAGAATGAGGCCTTCTGCTGTCAGCACCCATGGGAACTTTACCTATACCCATCCTTGATAAATCATCTTGTAAATTTGGCTGCCAATCTCGCCTGCTCTTAAAACTGGAGCTGGTGGAATGATGGGAATGGCTGGGGATCGGCACCATGCGATTGGGTAAAGGCTGACCAATCACCTGCCTTGTTTCCCTCTGTAGCCGGCTGCTGCTGCTGCTATTGGTAGCATTGGAGGCTGTGGATATGGTGGCTATGCCGCTGTCTATGGACCCTCCATCACTGCTCCCAGAGTCTTTGCTTGCAGTGGGCCTGGCATGAGTCATAAAGGGGTGGTCCAGCACAGCGGAGAGACTGGGCCTGAGGGCCGGGTTCTTTTGCAAGAGCTGCTGAATCAGGTCCTGAGCTTCTGCTGATATGTGAGTGGGCATCTGATATTCTCCCAGAACCACCTTATTGAGGGTATGTTTGACAGTGTCTGTGTCAAAGGGAGGTGGAGATTTACCGCTGATTACAGAACCGGCTTTCTGACAAGATGCGCGTTAAATATCTCATGCGATTTATCGTGCAGCCCTACCTTAAACTCTGAATTCTGATGGGAATTTTACCATCGCAGCTGAACCAGGCCTGTGTTTGAGAATCAGGCATTTGTGTCCTCATTGAATGGGTGGATGTAGAGAAAGATGATCCCGGACTGAGAAAGAGGGGGGGAAAGAAACACAAAGCACTAATTACAAAAAATACATCGTAATAATGCTGAAATGCAAATATGTTAACTGCGCTCAATGCATTATTAAACTTTGCAGTCATTTTTGATAGAATCACACCGCCTCTTACTTTGCAGGCTGTTTTACAGGTGGAGAAGGTAGGCGCCCTTGCTCAGAGTAGCCATGGGGCATATTTCTGTAACTGGAGGTTGATGAAAATAATCGTCCAGACCCTGGAAGCATCTCTTCAGAGTGGCATCTCTCCAGCTCCGCCTCCTGTGGAGTGTTGCTAAACCCAGCACCAGATCGATCTGATGAGTGAGCCCGTCTCAAGTAGCGAGAATGAGGCCTTCTGCTGTCAGCACCCATGGGAACTTTACCTATACCCATCCTTGATAAATCATCTTGTAAATTTGGCTGCCAATCTCGCCCGCTCTTAAAACTGGAGCTGGTGGAATGATGGGAGTGGCTGGGGATTGGCACCATGCGATTGGGTAAAGGCTGACCAATCACCTGCCTTGTTTCCCTCTGTAGCCGGCTGCTGCTGCTGCTATTGGTAGCATTGGAGGCTGTGGATATGGTGGCTATGCCGCTGTCTATGGACCCTCCATCACTGCTCCCAGAGTCTTTGCTTGCAGTGGGCCTGGCATGAGTCATAAAGGGGTGGTCCAGCACAGCGGAGAGACTGGGCCTGAGGGCCGGGTTCTTTTGCAAGAGCTGCTGAATCAGGTCCTGAGCTTCTGCTGATATGTGAGTGGGCATCTGATATTCTCCCAGAACCACCTTATTGAGGGTATGTTTGACAGTGTCTGTGTCAAAGGGAGGTCTGCTCGTGAGGAAGGCGTAAAACATACAGCCCAGGGACCAAACATCCGACTCCAGGCCGTGAGCGCTGCGTGTAGCCACCTCAGGTGAAATGTAGTTTGGTGTCCCACACATGGTGAAGTGCTTCTCACTGGGAAGCTTGAGCTGCGTTGCCAAACCAAAGTCTGCAATTTTAATATTCATGCTGGTGGTGAGCAGGAGGTTGGACAAGGTCAGGTCCCTGTGCATGATCCCATGAGTGTGGAGGTACAGCATTCCCTTCACAATCTGATGCATGAAGTGCCTCGCTGTTGATAAACAAAATCAAAATAAAAACTGAAAACAGTGTTTAAAGGCAAGATACAGTAATATTTTGGGCTGTTATGACAAAGCTTACAGCTTTTTTTTTTTATTGCAGGATTTCTGCAGGATTTTTAAGATCAAATTTAAGACTTTTAAAGACCTTTTTAAAACCTGCACAAATAAAATGAATACCATATGAACAAGGTAGGGCAATGTCTATAGTAACATATTAAACTGTAAAATGATTGTAAAATGCATGATTTACAGTTCAGATACAAGTTTTCAAAAAAACAAAACGTTTTATAAAATTATACACTTTACATTTTAGCCTTTAAACCATTTTTAATAAAATGGATGAGTCAAAAGTATTAATTATTATATTAATTTAAACAATTATTATCAATAAATTATTATATTCATTAAATAACACAAATACATTTTACTGTTTAGATTTTTATAATGCATTATCTTCTTATCGATCCACCAGTTCACATTTACAGCTCTGCGTGTTTGCAGGGTAAAAACATGGGTCAATTTTCACATTGATCTGAACAAAAACAACCCCAATACTGTGTTCCTGCAATACCAGAGGCTGCAGTTTCAGGACCGCGTTTCTACTAGGGCCCTATTTTTTGTGACGGCGCCATCTAGCCAATTCAGTTCCAACAGAGGAGACCTGATTCAACCATCAAACAAACAGATGCAAAGACTAGATCAATGTAAACTATTATTTTTTTATCTTTCTATCTTATTTTTTATGTAATAGCTGGCGTGAACTTGAGTGTGTGAGGCGATGTCAGCAATCACCATTTAGCCTTAGCTGTGCAAAACAGTTCACTGTGCTGCTGGATGTTGTAAACTAGTATTTGTAATCAAATTATTTTACATTTATTAATGTACTAATAAGCACACTCATTTGTACCGCAATTGTTTTACCGTTTACTACACTTTGTTAAGTGGGTCAGACATCAGACGTGAAGTGCTGCGGCTAATGAACAAGTCTCGCAAAGAAATGCGGCCCTGAAACTGCAGCCTCCGGTATTGCAGGAATACCCTACTCCAATAAAACAGGCTTATTGAAAATGCACATTCATTCTCTGCCAGCAGGAGGCGCTTTTGGAACAGCAGAAATAAAGCGGTTTCCCCGGTAACAGCAGAACACAAAGCCGCTTGTATTCAATGAAAACATCGCCTTTGCAAGTTTAATCGTCACATTAAGCCATATCGCAATTCTGGTCTTTCCGTCCCCAAATTTAAGACCTCCTGAAATCATAATTAAGATTTTCTTGTACAATTTAAGACTTTTTATGGCCTAGAAATTGATACAACAAAATTTAAGACTTTTTAAGACCGTTTTGTTATTCTAAAACTGTATGTTCCTCAATTTAAAAAAAATGTATTGACTTTTAGCATTTTGATTTATATTAGATTTGGATTATTTTAATATATTAATGATTGTTTGTTTACTCAATAAGTAAGTGAGGGCATAAAAGTGAAGAACTTACCCTCTTCCTCTGTAAAAGGGTTTTTCCTCTCCTTCAGGTAGCGGCTCATTTCCCCATTGTGACACATCTCCAGAACCAGGTACACATAATTACTGTCCTCAAAGTAATTGTACAGCTTGAGTCAGAGAAGAGAAAATAAGAGGATTAGTCAATAGCTACTTTTTGAACGAAAGTCATTCAGGATAGCAGATTCCTTCAAACATCACAAAATGCATAGTATGCACAACAATGTCATATTCCACAAATGCAGCATAATTTTTAATTAACCAGGAAGGTCCCGTTGAGATACAGTATCTCTTCTACCAGGGAGTCCTGATCAAGATGGGCAGCAGAAAATACTAAGACCTCCTGAAATCATAATTAAGACTTTCTTGTAAAATTTAAGACTTTTTATGGCCTAAAAATTGATACAACAAAATTTAAGACTTTTTAAGACCGTTTTGTTATTCTAAAACTGCATGTTCCTCAATTTAAAAAAAATGTATTGACTTTTAGCATTTTGATTTATATTAGATTTGGATTATTTTAATATATTAATGATTGTTTGTTTACTCAATAAGTAAGTGAGGGCATAAAAGTGAAGAACTTACCCTCTTCCTCTGTAAAAGGGTTTTTCCTCTCCTTCAGGTAGCGGCTCATTTCCCCATTGTGACACATCTCCAGAACCAGGTACACATAATTACTGTCCTCAAAGTAATTGTACAGCTTGAGTCAGAGAAGAGAAAATAAGAGGATTAGTCAATAGCTACTTTTTGAACGAAAGTCATTCAGGATAGCAGATTCCTTCAAACATCACAAAATGCATAGTATGCACAACAATGTCATATTCCACAAATGCAGCATAATTTTTAATTAACCAGGAAGGTCCCGTTGAGATACAGTATCTCTTCTACCAGGGAGTCCTGATCAAGATGGGCAGCAGAAAATACAAATATTATGCACATGCTGGGTCTTGCTGGTTCTTTCTTCAGTCCATATCTATATGACAGTATTGCAGTGCTGCTAGTAAGAAACATAAATGCAAAAATCAGAATCCTACTCATTACTTTATATTTTAAAATGATCAAATCATTTGTAATATTTTACATTTTCATGTCTGTTAAAGCAATCAGGTTTCCACTATTCTTGTCCCGTGAATTTCGGACTTGTCCATGACATTTTCAGTTATTTTTACTGGATCATGATTAAAAAAATAAATTATCAAAAATGTCAATCTTTTTCATTTAATAGATTAGTGTCCCAATGTCTTCAATAATATCCTCACAAAGACTAATATTGTTCTAACCCACTAGTTCTTAAAGTATTAAAATGGCTAAAACAACTACAAATCGAAACATTTCTAATTTTTTATTATTTCTTATTATTATTCACCCCCATTTTTTTCTTTGAAGAACCAGGGTTCCCACTGTCTTGAAAAACATTGAAAATCATTTTAAATTGTGATTTCTAGAACTGGAAAATCATGCAAATTAATGACATTTTATAACTCTTTTTTTAAGAATAAATATACATTTTCTAGTCATGCCAAGCCCTAAAACATTTTATTAGGTAGAAATTGTGTAAAAAAAAAAAACTTAACCTTATTCTTTATGAAACAATTTATGTGGAAAATGGGGCCTTGCAGTCAAAAAGACTGAAAAGCACTGCTGTAGCCAATGAAATATCATAAGCAAAATAAAAACACTATAAAAATGTCTGGATTCAGTATTTTCTGTGACATTTTAGGATTTTAATGACCAGTATAGTCCTACGCAATTCTTTTTTTACATTTAAAAGTAAAATAAACTGTCAAAAAAACGGATTCAGATTCACTGGACACTAACAGCACCAGTACGTCTGGTGGGCCTGTGATGAAGGTTTTAGACTCACCTCAAGAACCGACGGATGTTTTAACCGACACTGAATCTCCACCTCATTAATGACTCTCTGCACCATGCCAGCTTTGTGCATGGCCTTCTTGTCAATCTGCAAGTTCACATGGGGCACCATGAACGGTTTTGAACAGATGCTGTACAGTCACAACCCTGGCACTATGGTTAATTAAACAGCACAAAGTAGGTTCTTACCATTTTGATTGCCACCTCCAAGCCTGTGTTTACAGATTTTGCTCTGTACACGCATGCAAAAGAGCCTTTACCCAACAAGGTGAGAACCTTGAAGTCCTAAAGCATAAAAAGGAATTATTTGCATTAGATTCCAGTAGATCAAATAAGATCATTTCAGGAGCTCGATCTTGCCCCCTTGAGAGTTCCTTCGCTACTAATCCTCAGAATTAAATCTCCTACCTCGATTGTAAGAGCCACAGATGATGCCAAAATTCTGTCCTCATGTGGATCTTTTGATTTCGTAGTCAAATTTAGCAGGGATGAATTAATCACTTCCAACATGTTTCATGCAGTGTTTCGATCACGGATTAAGGCGAGAACAAAAAAGCAGCCCGTTGCACACTGTCTGCACTCTTTGTTGACGCATCACTAGTTACCTGCATCTGTTCATCACTCTCCCGCTCTCCTCCCGCGACTCTACCTGACACTAACGCTACCGCGCGTCGCCTAGCAACCGTCTCCATGCTCCTAATTCCCAAAACACTTTTGCTGCACTAAAATATACCGCAGAAGGATGAACAGAAGGCGAGGTCCGGACGGTAGTTTAACCGGCTGTCAGTATGATTCAACTAACGTACTGCTTCAATTTTGTGAATTGAAGTTTCGTCTTTGTTTAACATTACGTTTCCCAAACATAAAACAAGCTTGAGTAAAGACGTACAAGGGATTATTTTAGCTGTTTTGGGAACTTAAAATATACATACAACCTAATAATTGAATTAAATAGTCTGTCGGGCTACATGGCTCTCGAGTTGCAAGCGGCCGCGCTAACGTTGCTTACCTCAATTTTGTCACCGATTGAGACACTCATTTTCACTTCATAACCTCTTCAGTCCGACGATTCGGTAATTCTGTCCAAAATATCCTTATTTTTCCGTAAATGTGAGATGTTTTGACTTGAGCATGATGTATAAAAATGCATTTAGTCTGTATATTTGTATTCCCCTCCAAAATGTTTGCCTTTCCTCCATTTTGAAAAAGTCCGCCCGTTAGAACGCGTAATGACGTAACAGACGTCGCTGCGCAAACTGACCAATCAGTGATCAGATTTTAGTATGACACGGGAAAAGTCTTATTTACTACGATGATATCAAGTTTTTAGTACCTATACTGTTTATTTCAAGAATAATTCACATTTATAGTGATATGGTCTTGTTTATGATTGCAACACTGGCTTCTCTATAATTAATAACATAACAGTTCCTGTTAAGGCAGGGATTCACAAACCGTTTTGTCAGACTGAAATTAAATATTTCAACAATTTAACAGCACAGTCACATATTCATGGTTCTTTGAAGTCAGTTGGGAAAGTTTAAAATTTAAAAATGTTTTGTGATTCATTGATTACTTAAATATAATGTATTTGAATGAAAAATTACACTGTATCTCCCCTATTACCTGCCTGTATTTACAAAATAAATAAAATTTAAATAAATAAATAAATAAAAGTCCTATAAGTGCTTCTAACACTTCTACAAACCCTCCTGTTCTTGTCCAGATTTTGAGACTATAGAATTACATGTAAAATTTCTCACGTAAACTGGCACAATAATTTAGATGGCAACAAACACATTCAGTCATAAAGGCATGTTTTATTATTTGTGATCATCAAACCTCAAGCATTTAAATAAATAAAAGTCCTATAAGTGCTTCTAACACTTCTACAAACCCTCCTGTTCTTGTCCAGATTTTGAGACTATAGAATTACATGTAAAATTTCTCACGTAAACTGGCACAATAATTTAGATGGCAACAAACACATTCAGTCATAAAGGCATGTTTTATTATTTGTGATCATCAAACCTCAAGACTTGATATGGGACTGCATGAAAACTGGGGGAAAAAGGAATGACCTGCTCAAAACATTCTACTTTCATATGACACTACGGAGCTGAAAGCATTGCAATGTCAACAATAGGAGTGTACCTATATCTAAGCACCCATAAATTCAAATTACTAAAAGAATATTTACAGGCTCTAGACAACACATCCTTTAGAAATGTATATATTAAATACAAATATAAACCATATATTTATATGTATTGCATACATATTTGCTTCTTTTCCCTCAATCTTAACGATTGATCAGACAGTATTTTAATTCATGTTCCCATAACAAGTTACCAAGTGATATGATTCACCTCAAGAATGCCTTTGGGTCTCCCAGAATGCATCACATTGTTTTAGGGATAGCTTTTTGTTAAGAGCGGCAGCATCGTTTCAGCTATTGAACTACATCTATTCTATATGATCCTACTGTGGATGTCCAATCCCGGACTGTGTTTCCAATACAGCTGCAACACTTGAAGGACAGCCTGACCCAGTCCCTTAATAGGTACAAGAGAAAACCAACAGAGGAGCAGACGTCTACAAACAGATGCACAAATACAGCCAACTGAGTGGTGGACACAAAGAGAATGGTTCCAGCTATCGGTTCAGTGTAAGTTGAAAAGGTTTAATAGTGGCTTAAGTGAGAATGGCAGCAGAATTAGATGGTTGAGTGAGGAAGAGCTCAGTCCACCTCCATCTCTCCAGACGGAGGCTTCATCTGCTGATTGCCTTTGCTGTCTGCACCTTGCTGTGCTGCGGGGCCGTTATGTGCCCCATTGTTTTTGTCTCCCTCTTCTACAGGCTCCTCGGTTTTGGGTTTGGGTCGGTTGAAGACAGGATGGCAAACATCCTCTAACTCCTGCATTTCAACACAAAAACAGATGGATTAATATTTATATAAATTGCATTTTATTAAATTATGCAGTAGGTTAGAGTGTTGTTAGCCAGTACCACAATATGAGGATTCTTTATGAAGGAACCAGACACAACCTGCCAGTAACATGTTGAGATACTATTTTGCCCCATAATAAAATATACAAGTAAATTGTAGTTTCCTTCATTTAAAAAAAAAAATAGATTATACTTATTTTAGAACCATGAGAATCAAAATTTTAACCAGATTTTTGCAGTAAACTTGTTTTCATAATAATTAAGCATATTTTCCCTACAAAATGTCATTGCCGAAATGTAAAATAAAATTTAAAAAAATCGAATTTCCACTACTTTAATGCAAAATACATACAATAAATATTTAATTTAATTTAATTATAATACAACACATAACTAGACAGAGTCTGTCAAAATAAAAGTCTTTTAAAGGTGGGGTAAGCAATTTTTCAAAAACGCTTTAGAAAACTGATTCGGGCCGACTAGCAAAACAAACTTGTAGCCAATCAGCAGTAAGGGGTGTGTCTACTCATGATGTGGAGGAGAGAGCGTTCAGTCTGAGCCGAGCGACAGAAAGATAGAGATGGCGGATAAAAAACAAAAGAGGAAAACGTCTGCGGAACAAAAGAAGGCTTAAGGCAAGAAGTAGGACCCGTGTAAATATCGGATCAGCTTTCCAGCACTGAAGCGAAATCAAGGAGCGGAAGGCCTGCGATCGGACGCCAAGGTTGTTTTGTTTCTTCTCGATAGGTGAGTAACACTGTGTCTGCGCCGCAACAGCTAAAGTCTGTCTAGTACACTGGACCCGACAAAGCGACCGTTGAAAATCATTTGAAATGTGTGTCAATACTGCAGCTTGACAGTATTTTTACTGGAAAAGTGCACAAACCTGAATCTTCTGAATGATCTCTGCTACTTTGACTGCTGGGTCTTGAGCAACTGTAAGTTTGCTCTGGGCGTTCATCTTTGTATTCATCCAGCCTAAAGCTTCACACACACTCTTCTCAACAACACTCATCTCCTCGGCGCTCAAGTGCTGGTAGCGCTCATCCTGCTGGTCAAATGGCAGACATGACCACAGCATTTAATGCATCTCAGCTTCCACTCAATTCAGTTTAAAGTGTACCTCAGCATTACATTTTCTTTAAGTGCATCAATACTGATGAGGAACAATACGATGAATATGATGACTGTAATGAGTAAATGCAATTAATGTAAAATGCTCAAGAATAAATAAGCCAATCTGAACACTGCTAAATATTAAGATGCCGTTACATACACAATAATTCTGATAAAGATATAACATTGTAATAATGAATTAAATGGCCAAAACAACTGATATAAAGTCAAACACTTGAAACATTTTTTTAAGTGAATGTGTTCCCCAAGTAGTGGGAGACATAACAAGGCACATTAAAAAACTTGTAGATGAAAAAAGTGTAAGTTACGAAAGTAATTAGGCCAGTAGATCTGTGCAAAGGAGTTATCCCAAATAAAACCAATTAATGCCTATAAAAAAGGAGGTTGCACATCACTCCAAGGCTTATAAAAACACAACAGGCAAGAACTGTGCTTTAGTTGTAAAAACAAGCTTTTTCAAATCATTTTCTATTAACAGAACTATACAATATCAAAAAAGCTACATTGCCATTAAGCATTACAATTACCTTCTGTTTATACACGTCCACCGCCTTCATAAAAAGCTGAATTTTCTTGCCTAGCTCATCGAACGCTCTGGGTCGACCCTCATGCTCTCTGTACCGTTCTTCAATGGGCTCACCAAACTTCTACAAAAGACAAAGACAACATCCTGCTGTAACACACATTCATGCAGTTTTTCATTGGATGAACTGACCCGTGTGAAAAAGAACTACACTTCAGCGTAGTTTTAAAAAGACTACTTGTTACAGAAATAATATGAAGTTCATAATAATAATATGAGTTCATTTGCAAAAACCGATAAACGCCACTTTAAAAAAAAAGGACCTGATTTCCGTGCATTATTCTCCAAATATAGCGCGATCTGAACCCTAAACACGTTTTGTCAAAAAAGCCGGTTTTGTCCACTTTCAAGGCATC